ATTGTGTATTTTTGCTTGTTTCAGATTTGTTGTCAAAAAAAAAAATTGCTCAAAAAAATTTATGTTTTGTTAGCAGTTAGATTGATGCTGCTTCTTGCATTTGTTGTTTGTTGTTGTTTATAAATAAAATGTAGCTTTGCTTTGTAACTGTTTCGCTGGGTGCTGTTGCTGTTGCTGTGGCTGTTGTGATTCGTGTTTCGTGATTCGCAGTTCGCTGTTCGCAATTGGTTCGATGAGCTGCTTAAGAACTCAGTTACAGTTACAACTCAGTCAACAGTCAGTCCACACACAAACAACAAACACACACTCGGACACTGGCGGCGGCACACACAGAGGCGACGTTGCCAGTCACGAATTCAGTTGATGACTGAACAACAGTGGACGAGTCGCAGCGTCGACAACCCCGAAAAAACAAAAACGAAAACGAACAAATACAAAAAAAAATGTTATATATGTATTGAAGCCATGCACACGATGTTTGTCGGTTAGCGGCGAACACGAAGCACTGCCGTCGCCGTCGCCACACGAGCCGAGCGTGCTGACGAGCATTTGCACTCGAAGAGACGGCACGAGTGAGCGAGTGAACGAGTGAACGAGAGAGGGCGAGCATAGAGAGTGGAGAGAGAGAGTCACTCAATTGGTCTTTTGCCTCCCGCCTGGCAGTCTGCACGCTTTTGATTTCTTTCAATAGGTTTTTGATTTTCGTTTGTGTTTTGCTTGGTTGGGGCTGCTGCTGAGCATTTTTGTGCGCCGTCGCTGTCGCCGGCGTTGACGCTCGCTCACATACGACGCGTATTACAACTTGTGCGCTCAGCTCAGCGTTCGTTCTGTTTACTTTTTGCTTGATTTTTTTTTTTTCTGTTCGTTTCGTTTCGTTTCGTTTTTTTTTTCTGCTGCTGCCTTCTGATAACTTCTGTCAGTTGCATGTATTGAAATTCATTCATTCAAACCAACGGCCCGTTTATCTCTCTCTCTCTCGCTCCCGCTCTCACTCACTTATGTAGGCGCTCTCGCTCACTCATGCTCTCGCTCTATCTGCATGCATATGTGGTGCCTGTGGCTTGGCATTCAATTTGTAGCAGCGGCGTCGACGTTGCTGCTTCTGTCGCTGCTGCTCCTGGTGCTTGTGCCTGCGTCGCCTTTTTTCTGATTGGGAAAAACTTATAGGAAAATGTTACGCTCACATTGCGCTCCTTTAGCTCGTGTTTGTGTTTATTGAGCCACACATTGAGTGCAAACTGTGAGTGAGTGAGTGTGTGTCAGAGTGAGTGCGAGCGAGTAAGGGGAAGTCTTGCCGGCATCCACTTACATTTTTCTTGTTCTTGTTTATGAATTAAGTTGCTATTGCTTTACTGTTGTTTCTTTTTCAGCTTACTATTTTTTTGTTTTCATATTACTTTTTATTTATTTCTCTGCTTGTTACTTTTGTGTTGCAAGGGTGTGAGCTACGAATCCTGTTGGCTTTAATTATTATTGTGTCTGGCTGCTGTTGATGCTGCTGGGTGTGTGTGAGTGTGTGTGTGTGTTTTACGCTTTGAGTGGCCTGCCAAAGGTCAAGCTGAGTAAGTTTTGGACTAAAGAGTGTGGAGGAGGGGCGGATGTATTAGATATTCAAAGTGGGAGGAGTCTCACCCGCCACACAGGTAAAAGTGCAGACCAAATGGAGTCAAGATAAATAACTTAAGCTGATTTCTTCAATTCAATTAGCTAAATTAATGATTAAATTATAATAAAAATAGGCAAATAGATTTTAATAAATGTTAGGAAAAATAGTTAATTGATTAATAATCAATATCAATATATGCTTTAAAAAATGCATTCTTAATAATAAATAAAACTTTGAGGTAGAGTCGCATCCGTGACCCAGCCCTATGTAACGCTCAAGAGCTCTTCACACACACACACACATACACTCGCATAGAGRAGCGTGCAATCCGTTAGGGCTTGAAGCGAACCGCTGCTCGGTTCGACTTGCACATAAAGAAAAAGTTCAAATTGTATCGAAGTGCAATGCAGTAGCAGCAGAAGAAGCAGCAGCAGCAGAGAAAGAAGCAGCGGAAGAGGAAGGAGGAAGGAGAAGCCGAAGAAGAGGAAGCAGCACTAGCAGCAACACCAGCAGCAGCAGCAGCCGAGCAGCAACGACGACCACGATGGCAACCTTAACCCAGCGCTGAATGGGCGAAGGTATAAGAAAGAGGAGGAGAGTGAGTGAAGGAGGGCAGGGTGAATGCGCACCTAATGCAAAACAGAGAGCAACGGCAACGGCAACGGCAACGGCAGCAGCAGCAGCCGCCAAGTGCGTTGCAGCGTACGAGAGACGCGTCGTCGTGCACAGAGGCTGAGCCGAGCGCGCGAGCGAGAAAGAGCGAGAGAAAGAGGAGTGTGTGTGTGTGTGTTGGCGAGAGTGTGAGCGCAGGCTGCAGCCACCTACACGAAAGCTTCGGAGCCGCTGCTCGTGCCGGCGTAAGCGTCGCTGCTGCTGCTGCCGAAACTCATTTCATTTCATTTCATTGCTGTTAGAATTTTTCTCAACGCTTTGGTTTTTCTTGCTTTCAGCCAACCATTTCTTTTACAGTTGGCCATGTGTGTGTTCGTGTGTGCACATGTGTGTGTGTGTGAGCACACGCGATTGCCAAACGCCTTCTGCTGCTTTCTATTTGTCGCTCCCTCTCATTTGTGCACACACAAGAGTCAAACGCTGTTGATTGACAATCGATGGATGAATGGTTGAGTTGAACTGGTCTCTGAGCTGCAGCCGAACACTCTGCGGCACTTGCCGACGGGGAAATGCCAATGCTGCTGCCAGCCGCTACTGGCCTGGCCGCTAACGGCAAGCAAAACAAACAAGTGTTTGCTGCAACGGCACAAGCGGCGGCAGCAACTGCAGCACGCTCAATAGCTCACGCCAACTCACTCAAGAGACACAGGCCACTCAATGTGTTGAGTTCACTCGGCCATTCACTCGCGACGCGTCGGAGAAGTTTGAGTTGCAGTTGCAATCGAGCGCAGGGGTTCGCTCAGATGTTCGAAATGTTTTTCGAACTTGTTCGAATTGAGTGAGTTCAGTTGATTTTGAATGTTTTTGTTTTGCTATGCTTATGAATATATTCATTTGATTATTTGATTTTCTTTACAGAAACAAAATAAATAAATGTTTAACAGAAAGTAAATTTTATATTGCAAAAAAATAAAAATAATTTAATTAAATTTATCGAAATTAAAAAGAAGTCAAATAACAATGTTAAGAATATTTCAGGATAACACTGTGAGTGTGTGATAGAACCAGAAAGGGAGGTTGGGAATCTTATATATGTATATAAGAATGTGTAAAATATATAATCATAAATAGAAAGCACATAAATAAATAAAATAATATTGTAAGCCTCATCCGATATCAAGCCCAGAATAAATTAATTATATTCTTAATATATTTACTTACAGTTCAATTTTACTCGACTCTATTTTATTACTATTTGCTTACATATATTTTAATACACTTTTTGTTTGAATCACAAATATTTTTTTCGGGAGATTTTAAAAATTTTCTGTTTGATTTATTTGTTCGAACGATATAAAACTATCGATTGATTTCCCATCGACTGCTTTTTGTTTAATACTTTTGACAGTATTGATAGTTTTTACAAAACTACTATTGAAGTAGCCGAATATACATATATCCTTAATTTGTGCTAAGTGAGGGAAAGAGAAGCAAAGCAAGCTAAAGTCACTCATTCGAGCGCGGTCAGTCACTCGAAAGTCTGCTTGCACGCGTATGAGGCGAACGTCGCTCAATTTTCAATAATTCGCATAATAAAAACCAAAAACCAAATCAAAACACACACACACACACGCAAGCAGAGAGAGGTAAAGCTGTGCACATAAGCGAGCGACACTTATACAAGCGCAAGTGTCACACACGGCAGCGGCAGCGACAGCAGCAGCAGCGCAGCAGCATCAGAAAAAAGAAGCAAAACACAAAAAAATACACACATATATATATACATATATATATACCATTTAAGCCCCGCCCCATTTGATTGGCGAGCTAAAGCAGACGACGACGA